CTTCTGTGTATTTCTGTAGGCCACAGGTAAAACAACCGCCTCCTGGTCGGCTTTTTTTTCACATTTGCTGGCTGCGCGTCACGTGCGTGTTCTCTTCGCTGGGCTCTTCATATGCCTACGTTTACGCATATGTCATACCAGCCAGTGAGACGACTGGCTTTTGCGTGTATATCTGCTACCAAGGGTCCATCGTGGCTTGGTCCACGTAATAACGTTTCGAAAATTTGTCCACGATCCTTCTGTGTTTACTTTAAATGGTGTATCAACTAAAGTGGACACTCTAACGGTAAATATGTGATATGATGGTGCTAAATTTTACCCAGTCTTCCGGGATTCATCCGGAAATGTCCAAATTCCGCATGTGTAAATACAATATTCCAGGCAGCTAGACGGTCTGAAGTGACACTTGGCTAATAAACACAGGGTCTATGGATCCCCATGTCACGGCGCTTTGCGACTAAAAAAGCGTTCAGCTGTAGCACCCTTCCGGTGCCTAGCTGCCATTCCACCCGAAGGAAGCACGGGGGCTAGGCTACTGCCAGGTTGCCCAAGGGGAAGTCGAGTGGCGGAGGTCGGACTCGAACCACAACCTTCCGGTCAGTAAATTCGCGCTCTAACCACTTGGGCCATCTCGCCCACTTGCGACTAAAAACCAAAAATGCCCTCACAGATGACCAAGGATTACTAGTTTTATTGCTTTCAACTGGTGGTTTTTTTGGACCACCAATTGGAAGAAACTTAAAAAAAGCTTAGGAAGCAACCAGGTGGGAAACATTACGGAATTCCATGTATAAGACGTTCCCCGGTTTTATATGCGACCGAGGCACCCACAGGACCACTTTGTCCTTCTAGCACTGAGCAAGGCTTCAATTACCAGCTGCTCATTTCCAGATTTCTAGGCCAAATCCGAAAAGTTTGCAACACTGTACTAAAAGTCAGTTTTTCAGTTGTGTTGACGCAATTCTTGTCTGCGTTTCACTCAAATTCACGGAAGGTAGTTGAGGAACATGGAGAAAGGCATTCTGATGAGAATGTGAAATATGAAAGGTGGCAAGACGGCTCAAGTGGCTAGAGCGCGAATTTACTGATCGGAAGGTCTGTGATTCGAACCCGACCTCTGCCTCTCGACTTCCCTTGTCTAGGCTTGGGCAACCTGACGGTATCCCAGCCCTCGTGTTTCCTTCGGGTAGCATGGCAGCTAGGCACCGAAAGGGTGTTACAGCCGAACGT